TACAGTGTCAATAACGCACCATTCATCTATTACAATGAATTCCGAGTTGTTAAATCAGTTGCCATGGCCATCCATGAATACAGCTTGGTATTAAAAATTGATCCAACAGATGAAGAAACAGCAACAAGAAAAGACAAGACGGAAGAGCAAGACGAAGAGAGCCGCTTAGCAAATAAACGGTCAGCTCTGCGCTTGCATCTAATAAGTCACGACATTGATGCCGGATCTCGCAAAAAGAACCGCCGTTTCTTTTGATGTATATTCGTGTATCATCCTGAGAATTTCGTACCGAAATGCCGTGAGGTAGAGTGAACAAGAGAGGGAGAGATGGATTGACGCTTTTTCAGATGATATTCTATTGGTCAATTACATAAGACGATCGACGTGGACTAGGAACGGAGCATGAAAGAAGAAATTATGAAGATGAGTTGAGGAAAAGGAACGACTATAGATATAGTACATTACACGTCTAGAGAGGTAAAGTATTGGCAAACACGAGCTGTGAGCTTGCCATTTTACTTCCCGTGGCGTATATACTACTTGTCGTACCAGGAAGGCTGGAAAGTCCAACTCCCGCTCGCACTGACGAGCGGGAATGGCCCTTTCCCGGCGTCTCTTACGAAAAGAGCGTATAATACAGTTATTTTTAAAATTATGAATTTATATCCTATCTTGCTTTTACTCTATAACTCAATTTCTTGTGCGTAAAATTTAAAAACAATATTTTAATGTATTTCTTCTGTGAAAATTATAATCTTTTCAACTTTCAAACCTAAAAAGAAGCTATATATTTGGCAATGTTTGGTGCTTGCGAAAGAAAAAACAATAAAAAAAATTTAGGAACCTATGTAAAATGTACCTAACGAATTACGAAAGAAAATGAAAAAGAAATTAAAAAAAAATGCAGTTTGAAAAATGTATCGTATGTCACATTATGCCAAAAGAAGTAAGAATTAAATACGATTGAATATATAATAAATAAAAACTATCAAATTAATGAAAATAAGATAAAGTGAAAATGAAATTGTCGAAAATGAATGGGGAGCAATTAATGTGTCCAACACACGATGTAATAAATCTCCGAAAGAGACGTATTTCGCTGCTCGAGAGGGGGGAGGTAGAAGAGGCAATTTAATCTGCGATAACCGCGAGCCATATAATTCAATCGAAGAATCACTAATCTCCATAAAATCAAGTTTGATATTCTGAATGTAGGCATCATTATATACTCATATGAAAACTCTTTTATACGAGTTATTTTTGATGTGGTAGTTATAATTGCATCACCAAAACAGACACTTTATCTCGTGAAAGTTTCAACTGTTCTCTAATTATTTCTTACGCAGCAAAAAGCAATAAAAATAATTCTGATCATTAATTTTAATAAGGAACCAATCAATATCAATCAAGTTTCGCCGGCATCTTTCTGCGTACTTGCAGCCTAGTGATCTTGTATATACATACTTGTTTTATTTCATCACGTCATTGCGCCTGTTGCTTCTGCTGTTTTTCCATGGAATGAAAACTCGCCAGCTGTAAATACTCTCTGTTCCGCCGTGCTATTCCGCTTGTTTTTATTCGCGCACATCTTCAAGGATTGGCGTATCAACAATTTATAGGTCGGCAATATGTACTCTACGTCAAAGTTGCATCTTGCCGCCGCAGCGATGAATTACTGCTTGCGCAGTGAAATTTTGCGATCAAAGTCTTCGAGGCATATAAGGTATCAACAGTTACGTATTTATCCAACCTAATTATTTTGTAAATCTTGTAAAAATCACGTGTCGATCGATTATGTTGAATTTGCCTTCAGGTACACACAAGTAATTAACTTGTTGTTAACCTCATTATAATAATGCCAGACGAAGTACTTTTACGCTTGGCTTAATTTTATGACTTTACTATATTGTTTTAATCTCACGTGTAGAAACGTAATTTGCATGGTTACATGGCATAGTAGCTTTTCAATTTTCCCATGTTAAAAAAAAATTTCTGTATATTTGTTCACTTCTAAATCTTAAAATTTCGAATTTATTTACATCTTATTCAAACTTACATTCGCGTTGATCCTCGCCTATTGAAACAATAGAACATTCCATTGGAATCACAAGTGGGAAATTTATCACTTGGTCATGAAATTTTCATGAGATCAGCACTACATAATAGAGTAACAGTATGTGACGCATTACTGTTATAATGCTCGCTTGTCTCCAGGTAATTATGAGACAAATAAAAATTGATCAAAAGGCATATCATGTTAAATTCTAGGCTAACTACGCTAAAATTCGCGGAAGACTTGAGAATAGCTGTCCACTAACAATCAATCATCGTTACTTTAAAGTTTGTTGTAATTTTAAATAGAACGCAATAAAGATAATACTTATAAAATACATTAATTTAAAGCACTTGGAAATAATAAAACAAATATCAATATGGTTACAATACACATTAAATCAAGTACGAAATCTTTGATGTGCAACTTGTCCAAATTATTACTTATAAATGCATGCTTATTCTCCTCAATTTAAACGTTCGCAATTCTCAAGATGAACATTCAAGTCGTTGAATAGAAATAGCTGATATATTACATTTTGCAAAAGCAAATACGTCAGAGCTCTATGAATTACGGTTGATTGTCAGAACGAGTTCAACGACCGCTCAAGTAAACGTGAACATGCCTTGAAACTACTGTGCAATCCTCGAGCTGATTAATTAACCGCTCAATGATACAATTTGTAATTGATCCATCCCAGTCCCAATTTAGTCGTGATTCTTCATTCTCTGTTTGCTTTTCAATTACTTTTCGAAATAATTCACATGTATCACGTTATATAGATCATCGTAAAAAGCTTTGATGCAATGAAAACATGTCATTTTCAAGATGTGCTTGTGAGAACGAGATTTTTAAAGTGTTACTGCATAATAATAATAATAATAATAATATTAACAATTACACTTTGCGCACAAGCAAGACAGAAAATGACTTTATTGTCCGAAAGCTTGATAAGTATATACATAAAAATAATCGCTTTTCGCACGGAGGCAAACCCATCTGTAAATCCGTGTTTACGACACGTTTGACGCGTTATTTATTAATAACGTCAAGAGCTACCATTCAGCCAGATTATTAATAACCATTCATAAAAAGGTAATTCGAATCGCTCACGCGCTTGCGGGCACTCGTCAGTGGAAAATCACATTATTGTGTTATTAATGCATCCTCGAGGTGCACGCAGCGTTATATACACTACTAACATGCGACAGAACTGTGACATGCGTAGGCGTGGAGAAACGATTCGCGCGCACACTGCGCGCGAGCGAGCTTCAATTTTCTTCTCTAGAGTTTCTTCTAATCCGCAAAAGGAAAAGGTTGAGGGATTACACCGGCTTAGGTTGACGCATGTGGGTAATGGATGTGCAGTAATCTTCCCTGTCTGATACGTCTCTTAAGATTTCCGATTTCAGGCTCATTTCTTTGTAATGTTCTGTTGATGCTTTTCTTTTATTGCGGTCGAACAGTTTAAAAATATAATAGCGCAATGGACTTCAAAAATTGTCTGAAAGCTCTATTCTTTTTTCATACAACGGCACTGATAAAAGAAACAACAGTATTGTGTATTCGAAATAGCAAGCGGAGAAAGAATAAGCGCCTTGAATTTTTGTTTTGGAGTCTTTTTGTGTTAAAATTTCAGACGCGTCGCGGATATGGCGAATGAACCAATTGACAAACATGACTCAAGTGTACTGTAATTCCTCAGTTTCGAATGCGAAAATCAGTGAGAGACTTAAATTCTGCGCGCGTTTTCGAGCAACACGTCATCGTCACCGCGTCTCGTTCTAAAAAAGCCGATGGTGACCTATATTCCTGAATTGCTCATCGATCAAAATCGTAAAATATGCCGCATAACAACGCTTCACACTTCATTCTGTTATCATGAGATATTAAATTTACTTATACGATTTTCACATATTCACACGCTGTTTTTTGACCATCATTCGTATTAACTAGCTATTCACGATTCATAATTGAATGGCGAAGAATCGTGTAGTTTATTTCATTCATGAATTTATAATTTATGCGCAGCGTCAAATTAGAAAAATAAACAGACTCCTGCCTTTGTTATTGAAACCAAATTACATCTCATTTCCATGATGTGTCTTTCGTTCGCATTAGTAGAGACCCCATCTGATTGATTTATGAACTCCAACGATCACATAGAGAAAAGGAAAAATAATTTTTGTAGGTCACTGTCACGTCTCTTATGTTCGTAACAAATTGTTACATTTGATATTACACAATCACTTAAGCATCATTTCACGGCGATCCGCAATAAGAAAATTGAAATCTCAGCAAATTGTGGTCAAATATTTAATAAAGAAAACAATCATTGAAGGTCTACATTAGTATAACATTTGAAATTGATTGTGAATTATGTAAATATTTATTTCTAAATGTTACCTTTGTAGATCTGTAGTTAGAGTAGTGCGCATAAAAGCTTTTTTTTAGTAACATGAAAAATGAATAAATAATAAATCTGTAATCATTTGCATTCATTAAATGCTACATATCCCCGCACCTAATTAAAGTCACTAGATTGGCAAATATCAGGTTGACATGATTAAATCTGTGATACTTACGTCATTCAATAAAGACGACATTCAACAACCATTGATAGGAAGTGTAAACCTAGCATTGTCTCATTCTTGATTAGTATAGGTGATCTATCATCTAGTAATAAATTTCTTAAAATTTTAAAGCATAACTATTTGATGAGGCATGTAATGAGGCAGTCCCTCTTGATTGATACAAGCACCACTGAAAAAGTTTCATGTGCTTTGTTCTCAAACACATTGCAAGCCTCCGTCGCCGATTAGCACTGATGGAGCATAAATAGAGCGATGTTAAATAAAAAAAAATAAAATAACTATTTGATATTTGTTGTATAAAATTTTAAGTAAAAATTCCAGTAGACTACATAATAATTGTTTTTAAATTACAGATTGAGTCCGTAGATCTCGCATTAAACATTTTAGATGGATGGCAAGTAAGAGACAAAAAGATATCAGTTCAGAGAGCGAAATTTGAGCTTAAAGGACAGTATGATCCATCTAAAAAACCTAAAAAGAAAAAGAAGGATAAGGAAAAGCAGAAGAAAATTCAGGAAAAGTAAGTGATAAAATACGATTTAGTGGCTTTTGATTGTAACTCTTAATGTACCAGACTTTAATGACTTTCTTTTTCGGTTATAGGTTACTAGACTGGCGTCCAGATAGAATGCGTGGGGAGCCACTTAAATCTGAGCGCGTTGTCATCATCAAAAATCTTTTCCAGCCAGAAGATTTTGAAAAAGATGTGACGCTGCTTCTAGACTATCAGAAAGATGTGAGATCCGAGTGCGAGAAATGTGGCGAGGTCAAAAAAGTTACTATCTATGATGTAAGTGCTAAAAATACAATCAAATAAAAAAATTTTTCTAATATTGCACGCCTAATTGCCGGAATTAAAAGATGGATTCTGGCTAACTTCTTTATATTCATCGGTCATGTTTCCTTGAGAGCTTATTTTCTTTAAAATTTTATTTCAAAGATAAATTATGTTGAATTTGCTGAGAAATATGACCTTGATAATAGGACTATCGATTATTGTCGGCAATGACTATAAAGACATCGATTCAACTTTTGCAAAAATGCAATAATATCAGTAATAAATAATATAGTAATAGTTTTTATCGGTGTACATAATACATTTTAAAAGAATAAACTTAAAAAAATTTTTATATTTCTTCTCTGTAATATAATTTTTATAACTACATATTATTAACAGTTTAGAATGATCTAAAAAAAATTTACAATTTTTCTTCAGTAGTTACATCGTACCTTCAAGTCATATAACTTTGTTTATAAAAATATTACGATCAACTTAATAAATGTATTTCCTTAATATTTTTATTGTTTACTGTATATAATAATTAAAAAATACTAAGTATGAATAAACGTCTACAACATATCACCGAAAAACCTCCGGTCAATTGTCTTAAATTTCATTTTATGGAGTAATAAGTATCCTAGCACGTCTAGACGAACATAAAAATTTTATGACATTCTGACACTTCGCAGTCATCGTGTAGTTAATTTTAAAATTACTAATGACGTTTATGCCCGTCATGATATAAACCAATGTAGGTTAATATTTAGTTACTGTTCACTCGCAAGCAGAGATAGCATGAAGCATTTGTATTCATCGAATATTGGTATTAATTTTCTATTCAGTAAACAGTTAACCTGATAAATTAAATATTTTTTATGGAATTTAGTATGCAGGATTGGATTTGTAAATGTTTGATAGTTTGGATGATCTATAACTTAAATATCTCATACTTATTTCAGAGACACCCTGAAGGCGTAGTGCAAGTAAACTTCAAAGAAGTTGAAGAAGCTCAAGCTTGTATAAGATTACTTCATGGAAGATGGTTTGGACAGAGAAGAATAACGGCTGAAATATGGGATGGCAAAACCAAATACAAGTTAGTAAACTTATTATTATTTCTACGATTTAAACATTACTATTTCCTAGTGTTATTAGTAAGATTATATTTGGATAATGTTTATAGAATTAAAGAGACAGACGAGCAAATTGAAGCACGATTGAAAAAGTGGGATGAAGATTTGGAAAAGCAAGAACAAGCTGAAGAACAAGCTAAAAAGGATGCCGAAGAAAAAACAAAAACTGCACTAGTACAGTCTCAAATAACCACCGTCGCTGAAGCAGTTTAGTTGAAATAATATCTAAACTAAATTTTAATCCTTATTGATTGAATAATTTTGTTATGATTATTTAACTTTACGCTTGACATTTCTTCAGGTAAGATGCAAGCATATTTTACAATTTTTTATTATACATATACTTTCCTGATTCGTAGAAATTATAAAATGAAAAACACAACATTATTGTAATTGGTATATTTTCATAAATAAGGTATGTCGAGACTCAATGATGTTCAATTCTTGATTAAATTTGTTACTTCATTTTGTACATTTATTTATTAGCATCTTTTATTCATTTAACAGTCTTTTACTGATCGTCGATGAAAGTATAAAAACGCTCCTTTTAACTGTAGATAAGATAGGTAGCGATACAATCAATCAATGGTATCCGAAACAAAGTTACTATGCGATATATAGTTTGAACAAATGAATTAAATAATTGATGTAATTACGAATTGTAAAGTTTTACAATAAAATGCATGAATGCATATTATGATCTCAACAATTTAATTGCAATATAAATACATTATCTATGAATAATGAAATTGACTAACGTCTCATTGACTATTCCTATAAACATAAATTTGTTGTTATTACTATATATTTATTTAAAGCTCTTAAATTTAGATTTTCGAAAAAAAATATCACTACTGACTTACATTATTGATTAAAACACAACATACATACGTACATACATATGAAGGCATGGATAGTGGCGCCGCCAAAGACGCTTTACCTTAAAATGATTAACTAACACTAGCTAGAATCTGTAGAGTCGATAATATCGAATACTTTGAAATATTGTATTTTTCTCGAATAAGTATACTTTACGAATATTTACATCGTTTCTGAATTACTATTAATATTATCTTGGTGTTAAAATGTACTTCGATGTATCACGAGTTAGAGCAAACACGTATAAATTACTTACATGATAATCATGAATCTTAATTTTGGATTATATTTTTATTGTCAAATATATTACAGAATTTCTATTAAAAATAATTACACGAATCAACGATTACTGATAATGTTAGACGTACACTTGTACAGCATATTAGTTATACGTCATCCAATAAATGAAAAGTCCGATGAAATAGATCCAGCTTCTAAATTAATAATAATTCATTATCCGACTGTTGAAAGTAAAATAACATATTTCGTAAAAGTATAAGGTATTAGAATATACAAATGGCTCCAGTAAAATAAAACCTGCAAATATACCCCAAAGTCTGAAGCCACGCCCCAAAGTAGCGTAGCTAAAATGTTTGAGCAGGATACTCTTATTATCGGAATTTTGAAGTAACATTATTTTAACATCTTTGTCCGTAAGACTTTCATATAAGCTACTTCAAAAACGAATAATTCCATCAGGTTGCCATATTGAGTTTGAAATTGCTCAGCAAATAGATTTGCAGTGCACTTTTGTAGGTACTTGATAGAAATAAAAACAGCTAAATTTGATAGTGAAAGCGAGCGTCGCCTGTATAGAACGATCTCAATGAATATTCTGGCTGTATACGCTTTGTAGCGTGCCAAAGAGAAGGATAAAATATAAAAAAAAAACTGAAACCCTCGAGGCAACCCATCAAAGACAAAGACAATACTTCGCCACAAGCGCATCAGTATCACAATAATTCACAGTCGTGCTCAATAAAATATATGTGAGCACTCTGAAAGCACCCCATATATCGCTCGTCTTATTAATTTCCAGGCGACTGCATGCGCACCCGATTTACATGAAAAACCATGCGTCAACAATAAAAGCCGCAGACAATAGGACACAAACGATTTAGTTCCTTGACCCACACAACAGCACAAAAATAGAAACGGGAGCATCTACGCGTATAAGTGGCATCAGACGCGTATCATTTCTTTCTCTCTCTCTCTCGGCAAGCTGCACTTTGCCCTTTCACAGTGTATAGAGTATCATCGGATACAAAGCTATCGTCTCTCCCCTGCCCCGCTTTCACAAGGGGGTTAACGGCGAAGAATTCGCTAAGTATTTCTATTATTGAATTCCCTCGTATTTAATTAATGCTCGGCAGCATACCTGTTTCCAACGAGAGAGAGAGAGAGAGAGAGAGGCGACAGCACGCTCCCGTTATGAATTTGCAATATATGCATCGCCTCTGTGTCCGAGCCACGTGCGGGACGCAGAGATTGGAGAGAACGCGCGGAGCATAGGGTGCCTGCCTCGGCAATATCACTGACAAATTTAATGTCCGACTATTAGCAGTCGGCGGCAGGGTGTGCGTGCGCCCAGTGCACCGTACTCCATTGTCAAGTGGCCACGTGCACGATGACTACACGGCAGAGCAGAGGTATAAGGTCGCGTTTGATCGTGGGGCGTGTAAAAAAGGAGACGAAAAAAGCTAGCTCTCCAGCAATGTCACGCTTATATTGGATTTGCTGCCCTCGTGACAGCGAGAACCTGCTAGATTACACATGAGATTAGGCACGACGAGCAGTATACGATGCCGATTCGATACGCCGTCCTGAAAAGCAACGGCGCCGAGTTGTTTCCTTTCCGCGATAAATGGGACGTGCGCGGAAATCAGAAAAAGAGACGATGTAAGGGTGCTTTTATTAAAAGCCATCGTTCAACGCTTAACTGATTTTTCCAGGCCTGTATATTCGAGAGGTTTTTCCTCTCGTATTATTCGATTGCACGAACTCGTGGTATTTCTGCCTTCTTTCCTCTTCTTTACGGCTGTTGCTCAAGGGATGGCAGGATTCTTTTGCGCTTGCCAAGAACTTTGCTGCCGCGGGTTTTAGCGGGGCACTTTGAAGTGGCCTTCTTTGTAGATCAGTCGTTTAATGCCTTTGGGTAAACTTCAGGTGGAAATGAGCTGATCATATTCCTGATCTTTGATGCTTCAATCTTGCCTGTATATTCAATGAATTAAGGGTTAGATTGTACAAAGTACATTTCGTCAAGTAGCTCTTTGGAAGGTATTTTATCATTTTATCATCGCTTACACATTTATGTTGATTATACATGAATGAAACGGATAAGCCAAAACTACATACAAATTTTGCCAAGGACATTATTTCAATGAAAATATTAAATATTTTGGAACATATACATGCAAGAATTATAGTTTCATTGCTTCTTCACTTAATGGCATTTACGTTGTATAATTAACATAACAGCAAATACTTAAATTTATTTAATAGCACAATGGCGTTTAGCATGAGATTTATGAATTCCACGAGAATATTATACAGTCGATAATTTTTCAATGAAGGTATATTCGGACAATGACAGGGATATAAAAAAAGAAATCTGCCAAGATTATCGTCTGATGTATGTATCCATTTTTATAATAATGCAAGATCGATAGTCTTCTCAAGCATAAAACATATCAAGTAGTTTGTTTTATATTAAAATTTCGGGCACGTCCACGCTCAACCCTCGGCGTTCTATTTCCACGTATTATCCGAGCGGATAATTGATTAGAGTAAGAGAGAAGAGCACTCGAGAGTTTGGATTTTTTGCACGAATCACCCCTTTGTATCAAGCGACGGCAGCCAGCGCGGAGAGTAGAGAGACTAGCTGGAGAGAGCGAGAGAGAGAAAAGAAGCTACGCCATGACGGCGCATCAGAGAGTATCGGGGCACGCGCGTGCTCTGCTCGCGACAAATCGAGCGTTAGATGACGCTGTAATTCGCCTTTCCTTTGTGCCATTTAACGGGGACGTAGGAACGACACTACCCAAGATTTCATTTATTCCAGCGCCACGTGTAACGCTCTACTCTAAAGCTCAATTTCGGGCAGATAATCGTCTTGTAAACAGACTTTGTTTCGTACATTGATTGTGGGTAATTTTTTATTATTTCTACCGATTTTCAATGCGCTGAATACTGACATTTTCCAATAATTTTTACGAACATACAATATACAATGAGGGAGCGACGTTCGAAAGCTTTGCAATTCTGGTGAGCTTTTTGAATCATACATTTTACTGACCTAGAAGCCGTATGGAATAGTTATAATTGTTCCAATAACTGATGTGACGAGCACCGTTAATATCATGATAAATTTAAACATTCACAATGATTATTCATCGATTATAATTACTCCTTTTACTTATGAAATTAAGCCAACCGAATTATTCCGAATCCTATTTCACGCTTTTAAGCGTATAATACGATTGACAATGCAATTCAACATAGCTACGCGGATACAATTTAGCCCAAATACCATAAATGGCGGCAGCGTTTATTTGTACAAAACTTACTTAACCATGCTTTTCCTATTTCTTATCCTCAACGTTCTAACGTTGCGTTTTTCTTTTTTCATTCCACTTCTTTCGTTCAGTCTTTAATTAGCTCTTGCCTTTCATGTTTCTCTTCTAACTTCAACACAGTTCCACATACCTTCCACAGTCTGTAAATAACATTTTATTTATAGTTTTTTCATTAGAAATCGTCTTTATATCAATTCCATTAGCAATAAACTATGTATACCATTGTCACGCTATTTTGTATAAAATTGATGCCTGATATAGATCATTTATCAATAATATTGGTGATCCGTTGGGCTCGCATAATACAATACAAAATTCTAAATTTTTTAATTTATTTTACAATTATAAAGTAGAATTTCAAAACTTATCCAAAAATCGTGGTCCGAGATTTCGTTCCACTTACAATTATAACATGAATTAAAAATTATTTTCCATAAATTCTATGTGTAAAAATCAAGAGCAAACAATAAAATTAAATATTGATATCAAATGATGTATAAAATTCTATAGGACACTTTCTTATATGTACAATATAAATATATTAATAAAAACTGCACCGTTTGCTCCAATGCATGGATAACGTTACATAATACATGCAAAAAAATGTTTTCTTATCATCGGTATTGGCAAAATCGAAGTAACAATTTCAATCACTGATATTGTTCAGAATTATCATTAACTTACTATTATCATAATTTATCAACTATTAATTATATTAATATGCATGAAATAAGCATTCGTCCTGTACGTTTCGTATCATTTAATTTTATAAATTTTGATCTGACGGAAGGGAGATATAAAAAAATGTTTAATTGTAACTGATTCGATGTTTGTTTTGCGACGTGTCTTGTTTAGGCTTAAAATTTTCTGTAATTTATACTCAAATGATTTACACATTGTAAAAATAAAGCGTTCTGGCATACACGAGCTTTCTACTGAAAATTTATATTTTCTTTCATTCTTAGATTTAGCCTACGAAACTTTGCGCATGTAAAATTTGTAAAATATCAAAGATTTAGGCTATTGTTGAACCTGTTTTAATTTTTTTAATTTCAAAATCATGTACTAATACTATGAAAATAGTTGTTCAAATACTCCTTCTAATTTCCTTTGGTGTAATATGTTTTACAAAAGTTACTATCAGAAACTGAAATAAACTATAAAATGTGAATGTAATAGAAAAAAAAGTAGAAAATGATCTTACTTTTAATATTTGATGGTTTATTTTAGTTTGTAATAGATTTTGGTAATAAAATTTGAATAATTTTTGTGAAGTTAAATTGTTTTAAATTGGCCTTCAAAACAATTATTGGCATAGTTTTAATAGGCGCATGGAGCATTTGATACTGAAAACATAATGAAACTTGCGCTGTCACGTGAATCAGAAAATTTGTATGTGGAAGAACATTGAAACTTTGGATTTTTATATAGTTGACATACAACCTATGAAAATGAGAAAATCCTTGAAAATTAGATTCATCAACTGGTGCGAAGGCGGCACTCGGTCGACATCTAATTTTTATTCTTAGTTGCTTGAACAAGCAAATAATATGAGATATTTACTAAATACGTGCAACAGAAATTCTGTATCCATAATAGTTTGAACGGACAGAGACTTAAGAATTTAACTGCAGTCCATTTGAAGGAGTCTCAACCGAAGGAGAAATAAGGAACTCATTAATTAATTGTCGTGCATTGAAAAAAGCCTCATTGAAATCGGCAAATGTTCGTCGGGCGCATTAAATAAGACGCCAAAGGCGCGAAATGAAGTGCAACGAGGCGTCGGCAATCTCGTTACTTATTCCGCTCAGCCTTTCGTCCTCTCATTTGCGATTCCAAATGCGCGTGCCAAAAAGCACTCGCCTCTCGTCCGCGACGGCGGCAACTCTGATGATAGGACGCTCTTGAAACAATAAAACAAAAAAAAAAGAGCAAAAGAGCAGAGCAAAAAAGGCGTTTGACGCGGGACTTGTGCAAAACTTGGGCGTCGAGAGGCTCCACTGCAGAGTTGGGAAATGAAGCCAGGGCGAAACTGTTAATGAAGACTCATTATGCGCCGGCGAACTTCTTAATACCGACGAGAGAGCTGTGGCCCGGAAAAAGCTTGAGCTAGCTTGGCGAGGCTTGAGAGTTCATTGTGGGATCAATACACAGAGGAAGAGAGAGAGAGAGAGAGAGAGAGAGAGAGAGAGTACATGCTTTGGGCACGAATAGGAGTGGCCGCGCTGGTATTGGACGCCGCTCGTCCGCGCTACGATTGGCCGCTAGGTATAGCGGGTAGGCGGAGCCAGCGTTGGGGTTGAACTGCGGCTGCCGCCGTCGGGATTCCCTCTCTTTCGAGAGGCCTGCGTGTACGTGTCTCTGCTGCGCTGCTGCGAGCGGCGGCCGCGCGACCAGTAAAGCGAGCGAGAGAGATAGAGCAGACGGAATAGTAGTAGTAGAAAAAGACAGGACTGGCCGTGAGAGAGAGAAAGAGATTTCGCTCGTTCGCTCGCCTCAGTCTGTGCTCGTCCACGTCCACGCAGCGTGCACGCCGATGCTCCGCTCCAGGCTCGTCATCGTCATTCCGCACGACAGTTGCTCCCGTGGCGGTGGTTGTCGTTGAGAGTGCGCGACGAGACACTGACTGAAGGGGTGCGCGCGAGCCAGTGACTGCAGTCGTCGACGGGTAGCGCGGGTGCGCCAAAGTAGTCGCGATTGACAGCTGGCTGAAGCACGTCCGAGGGGAGGTGGCCGGTCGTTCGCCGAGTACCCCGCGAGTGTCGGGGTGGCATCAGTTGCGACGTACGGTTACCCGAGTGGCGGCGGAGGAGGAGGTGCTGGAGCTGGGGGCGAACTCGGCTCGTCGGCTGCGGCATTAGTATCGGCGCCGACTGCGGGGCCAACAGCAGCGCCAGCGGCAGCGGGATCGCAAGCAGCAGCTGGGGCAGCCGCGGCGCCGAGGGGGGTGATGAGCTGCTCCGAGGTTATGTATCAATACTGCCCGTACCTCTACCAGAGGCCAGCGCCGCCCCATCCACACGCGGCCCCCCACCCGTCCGTCGCTCACGCCGGCAATCATCCCCACGCGGCCCACCACAGCCCTGCAAGGCCCGCGCCCTTTCAGCCCTTCTCCACTGCCGTGCCCACTCATCAGTACGACAGGGTAAGTTTTCTGCTTTGCTGACTTGCTTTTCGGCGATTGCCGCGCGCGCTCCTCGCATCCGTCGACCGCTGATGCATCGGGGTGCATGCATGTTATTGGCTCCAGTGAGTCAATTTATAGTGCGTTTCCAGACGATCGGAGCTCCTCCGTTCCGTCCTTGAACCATTTGGGAATTGCAAAACTGCCACGGTCAATCTTTGGTTTTTCGAGAAACTAGACGATGAGTAACGTGATTTTCAAGTCGTTCCGTTCCTTTCTAAATCACCTTTATTTAATAGAACAGTGACTACATCCGCAATCGAATGACATAAGCAGCCTTTAAAAATAGCTTCTGATAAACGTGAAAATCACTGTTCTTAGCACGCGATCTTTTCTTAACTTTTTCAATTGAATGAACTGATATCATGGCATTACAGCTAAATTGCTTATTCTTGCAATCGCTTCCTCAAACCTAATGTCGGATAACTTATTTCGCTAGCAATGTACCAAAATTGAAAATAAAAATAAAATTGTTAACATGAAAAAAAGAAAAGTTAGACATACATATTTATAGATGTAGGCTTATAATTGATAGAGTCAAAGCACCTCGCTCATTCTGCATAATCCTATTGACACTGTGGGACGGTGAAAGGGTGCTGCCGGAGTCTATAATTTGCAGCGCGCCACTATAATAGGAAAAAGAAGCCAATCGCATTAGCTCCGGTCCGGTCACGGAGCGATAAATCATAATCCTCGACGAGTAGCAGGTGTAGACATCTACCAGCCTGAATAGGATTATAGCACTCTATAATGGTCTCCACGTCGGTCCTTTTGCCGCTGTTCAGCGAACAAACACGCGGGCGCCGGGTATCGTTAGCCTGCTATCTCGTAATCCTATTGTTACGTTAAACAGCGAGTGTCATCCATCCTTTTTTTCTTCTTTTCACTTGCTCTGCAGGATATTAATTAATTCCGCATAGTTTTACGTCTAATTATCATAAATGCCAACCGTTAGCTCAGTAATGGGATAATCTTTATTCGGTTCGTGTAATCGCCAAGTTTGCACGTTATAAAATCAATTGGAAACAAGCGTGGATAATGATTTTCTTTTATGCTATCGGCTGGCGCGCTTTCCCACCGTAAACTCGTCGGTTAGTAGGCAATAGTTGACATCATGGATAACGGTGCAAAGAAAATTAATCATCAGCGGTTCGGTTTCAGTTGCTCTCGCCATATCTGTAACATTTGCTATCTAAAATAATTATCTTGGTGACGTTGTTTCTGAAAGTACGGTGATCTTGTCGGTCTCGAATGGTAGGGAGCGAACAAATAATTGATTACTCGGCCACAACTGCTAATCATAAAAAAAATGCTACGAGACACGCAGGATTAAAACGAGCCGCGCTTACCGTAAGCAAGACGCCCACTCGCGAAAGGATCGAAAGCTCATTATCTGTGCGCAATCGGTCGTCGTCTGCACCGACAAGACGAAAGCGCAATAAAGAATCCTTGAAGCGAGGCGTGCGCGATAATTGACGCGAATCGCACGCGTAAATCCTCGTTTAAACGATTGTCTCCATGAGCCCATGCACGAAGAAAGTCACGTGGTGGATTCTGGAGCGGCTCCGCTGCGCGTATACATAAAGGACATTTCACTCGGTGCTCTCTGAGCGTGCGAATTCCAGTGGCGGCTGCGACGGCAGCATCGCTCTTATACGACGACGGCCTCGCCCGCGTTTTGCGGAAATAGTTGGCTCGTTGCGACATCGATGGACGTCTTTCAGGAAGTTTCTCCGCTCGCGCCTGAGGACGTCGTCATTTTAATGCTCGAGAATTCTACGCTCATGACTTTATACATAGTAGAGGCTGTGCTGTCGCGTCAACTTCATCGCGGATTTTATTCTTTATTCATATAAAATTGGTCAAATAAAAAGGATAATTATTGTCTGTAATTATCTGTAAAACATTATTGTGATATGTTCGCGAGTTCGTAGCGAGAAAAAGCAAATTAAAGTTGATATGTCGGTACAAGGTAATTTCGTAATTACGTGACCTCGATTATATAGAACGATAATAGCGCGTAATGAACGTCGAAGTCTGCCAAAAAAGAGATTTGTTCTACATAGTAGTAATAATAATAATACAATTGAAAAGAAGAGCAATCGGACGTTAGCGCAAAAACGAGCAGGAGCCAAGCTCGTTGCGCCTTGTGAATGAAAAAGACTGACGCAGTGTGATCGAGCACATCCTTTACTTTTAAAAATTTGTAAAATTTTAATCTCGCCGGGCGAATCTCGTCGTCCATTGTGCGTGCGCGAGATGCCCTCTAACCTTTCCGTTCTCCTCGCACCACCGCGTTATCCGCAGGATCGTTTCTCTCCCCCTTTTTTTCTCATATTATATTATCTCTGTTGCAGGAGAAGTTATATGTGCGGACGCGCTCGCGAGTGCGGGTCTCCTCCGAATTTCATCTCCTACCTTTTCTCCGTCCCTTTTACATATATATATATGTGCGCGTGTACCGCGTGCTTTCTCTCTCTCTTGTTCGTTCCGCGCCCTTCTCGCGTGCGCGCGCCTTTTATTGCGGGCTTTCTTTTCTCACACGCCCCAACGGCATCGACATTTATTCGACCATTCTGTTGTCAAGGGCGATTATGTTGTCAGATGATCACAGCCTCCTCTCATTGCAGAACCCTCGATAAATTCAATTAATTAAGTGCACGCACGTGTGTAAAGGCGCGCGATCGGGCCGTGCAGATAAATAGATGCTCAAGTTGTGATTAATAACAGAGATCGCGCGCGATTTATCGGCGCTTTGACCGGGCTAATAGCTTTTAATTGTACGAGCTTTTTCTTTTTCAAGCTCTCGCCGAGGCAGTCGCCACGCATATAAAATCGGCCGCCGCGCCGCCGTCATTTTTCGTGCACGCGCGCGCATGCGACACGCGCACCGTAACGTATTGCGGCTGTTAAATCGTACCGACGCGGCGTCGCAACCTGATGAGCAACATTGCGAGCTTTCGACTGTGCGCACTTTTAATAAATTATTCCGTAAATATATCGCAGAATGCGTCTAATAAATTGAGCGGCGCTCGGTCGTTGGACTTTTATATGCAGGCCGCAACGTTTTCCTCGGCAATTGGTCAGCGTGAAAATCGTCAGTGCGCCGAGGTCGCGGCTAATTAGAAATACGTACGCGACGCTCTCGCGATGATTCGAATGTTTCGAAAGCGATCGCGAGCGAAGATTCCTCGTACAGAATGAAGCCATCCTCGCGCGCGAAACACAATACACGAGCGTGCGGCTAAATCGGCGAGTGTATATAAATTTCAATTATCGGCTATCGTCGAAGGGGTGTGAATCGAATACACGATCATATATGCGCGGCGTGTGCATATAGTGAGAAAAGAGGCTCTCTCGAAGCGCGATCTTGATCAGAGAGCAAGTTTGCTCTCTCGAGTAAAAGAAAGAGGGAAACGAAGATAAAAGAGTGGACACGAAAGAGAGAGATGGAGGAGAGGGAAGGATATATACAGAAGAGTCGGGAGTCACGGCTGTGCGGCGACGGCGGCACGGCGGCACGGCGGCAACACGAGTTTACTTTTATTTAAACGTTCCCTCCCTTTATTTAGGGCCTGACCCGTCGGTCATTTTGCTTCTTTGCCGCGCTTGCGCGAGAACGCGCGCGCGTGTCCTCGGTGAATTAATAGCCACGGCGATCCTCCTCTGGCAAATGCGCTCCTGCAAAAATTCAAAGGACGAACGATCGACCCGCTTTCTCACGGTTCCAGCCGCACACCGCCGCCGATCCGCTTCTTCTCTCGCGCTCGTTCGCGAGCACCGCCAATTCATTAATCCATAGGCGAACGAACCGCGCAAAGGGCGCAAATTGCTCTGCACACGCGCGTATGCCTGTGTATTATTTTCGCGCCACGTGCGGCAAATGCGCGCGCGAGTCAAAGGCGCGCGATGCTTTGATAACGAGTCTTGTAGACACGCCGAGTTTTGATGTGACCCGACTGATATAAATCGCTCTGTGCGTGTATATGTGTGCGTGTAGTGTTGGAATTTCGCAGCTTACCGGAACTGCATTCTTTCAGACGTTTCGGAATCTCATCGGTGAGCTCGTCCGGGGCTATGTTCATGGCTGCTACAGTTGTTGTTGGGAGCTCTCTTTGAGAATTTATGGTGACGTTTTAACTTTTTTCTTGCGCTGCTGTTGCCGTGTATATGCAATTTCCTCTTATTTCTTTTTTTTTAGACGTGTTGTCGAGACCTTTCCGGTTTTCGCCAAATATAAGAAACAGTTATAGCTGTAATATTCCAAGTGAATTTTATGATAACTGTTACGCAATTATTCTGAACGATCGGAGGTTAAAGAGTCTAATGTCGGCACAAATATCATTCTTAAATGTCTTCTCATTTACATATTTTAGGAGCTATAGAATTTGCATATTAATGTCAATATGAAGATGATGATCTAGACAGAAAAATGTCTGCTGGGCGAGTCCCAAAAATTTTCCACCTGCAGGGCAATAAATTATATCGAAAAGTCGGTAAAGGCCATCACTGGGTCAGACCCTCGGTCCAAACCTACGATATAACACCATGATGAGAGCGGTAATGGCCGTAAGAAAGTGGATCGTATCTATCGCCCTAAACGAAGAGCAGAGTCCGGAAAGCTAGGAACTCGTTTCCATTAAAAGCTGGTACGACTGTGTTAGCCGTTTAGCTACGCTTGATGCGCACCGCACAGCGGCCGTCGATTAAAAGTGTGGAATAGCGCACTCGCGCGTTTCTTTCAAACAGATTTTCTAAGCAAATCGTTTGCATTCCTACTGAGATGTGTGGAATTGACGCGTGTTGAAGACTTTTCGGAATGAGAGTCCACACGTCTTTTTAATCTATCAATCTTGCTTCTACACGCTACTCGGCTACGCTCAAATAACTCAATTGGTAAATATTCAAGTGACGCGACATATGCAAATTATTTGCCGTATTTTATCCTCTAACAGCCGAGT